AAGGATAACTGAATCCCTCCAGTGGAATTATAAACCCCCAGGAAGGATATCTGAATCCCTCCAGTGGAGTTATAAACCCCTAGGAAGGATATCTGAATCCCTCCATTGGAATTATAAACCCCCGGGAAGGATATCTGAATCCCTCCAGTGGAATTATAAACCCCTTGGGAGGATAACTGAATCCCTTCAGTGGAATTATTAACCCCCAGGAAGGATATCTGAATCCCTCCAATGGATATCTGAACCCCTCCAGTGAAAAAATTTCCCTCCGGTGGTCTCCAGTGGAGTCAAAATCTTACTACGAACTTCCGTGACTCCCCTTTCTCCAGTTTTATCAAGGTTCAAAAAATAATACTTCATTAGTGCAATGTTGCATCGACAACTTGATTCGAAATTTTATTCACCAAACGCTGCTTGCATAATACTTTCGTCGTATATAAAAAGCAAAAATCTTCTTTTTTTCTTCAACATCATCAAACATTATTGAATCTTTTGGTAGTGGGAAAGCTTATATAAGATCATTTTAAAATTATTGAATTCCTGTATTTTGAGACACCCTGCGTACATAATTTAGCAAGACTAAACAATTCGCTGATTCATATAGACAGCATAGACAGTTTTAAAGACACTCAAACTCCATAATCGACGTTGAATCAATTTATATTTAAATTGACTGCTGAATAAACTCGTAAACTTGATGAAAATCTGCCTGATTCGGCCTGGAACTATACACACAGTCGGCCTTAGTCACTTTTTTGTAGATTAAAGATCAACCGCTATCAGGTTTAGTTAATAAATTCTAAACCTTTATATCTTTAATTTAACAACTGTCTTAACAAATAAATATCTAAAAATAATCTAAATAAAAGCTAATTTAAAAATCAATTGCTTAGAAGTAGCTTTTTCGAAAATGATAATTATAAAATGATTCAAAATAATGCAGACTTTTTTACTTTTGGGGAATTCTAAGGAACTAATTTCTTCGTAAAGTCACATATAACATTAAGATTATTTAAAAGCAAAAAAGTTGAACTAAATATGAAGTAAACGCTCAAATCACTTTTATAGTATGGTCGATAGTACGCTAAACACTAGCATTTCTACTTTTCTTGATTCATAAAATCTGACCTCTGAACCATGATTCAGCTGTCGAATGAGTAGTAAAATATGATTTATTGATTGAAAATCTGGATTAGACCACATGAATGTCCGAAGATGAGTATAAGATGTAGACCTGATTTAATCAGAGATACTGGGAGTAACAAATCCTCTATACCAGCTTTATTAGGTAGATACAGGGATACAGGGATATCAGGGATACAGGGATACATGAATACAGGGATNAATAATAATAATAATAATAATAATAATAATAATAATAATAATAATAATAATAATAATAATAATAATAATAATAATAATAATAATAATAATAATAATAATAATAATAATAATAATAATAATAATAATAATAATAATAATAATAATAATAATAATAATAATAATAATAATAATAATAATAATAATAATAATATTGTAATAAAAATTGTAGCAGTAAAACTGAAAAATAATTAATAAAAATTATGCCAATTATGATGATAGTAATAATTTTTGGGTATGATTTATAAATAGAAAACTAACAAAAATAAAAAATATTATTTTTTCAGTTCTACACTCTACTTAATAATTGATGTCGTCTTCCAAATACAGTCAGCTGTAAGCCAAGCATGGTTTAATACTGAAACTATTACAGAGGTACTTTTCTAAATCTAAATTTAGCTTTTTTGTTGGTTAGTTGGATTGTTTGGTTGCTACAAAACTTTTGTGTGACCTCAAATGAAGGGAAAATGATTGAGAAAAAATTACATTTAAGTCTTTGAGTTTGATATTTATCGAGAAAAAAGTCACTTATTTACCTGGGAAATCCCAAAGATCATAAAATAGAGGGTAAAATGCGGGATAACAATATTTTGTTTAGGCTGAACTATTGGCCTGGACTGCCTGGAACCATGAAGGAAACCTAGAAACCTGTTTACACTTCTTCACATTTATCCAACAAATCATCAGTCCTCTTCTCTTCGTATACGCCGAGTTCTGCGTGAAATAATACATGCTTCTTATAAACTTAGTTCTGCGTGAAATAATACATGCTTTTTTTTATAAACTTGTTCAGCGTGAATAAATTAGTAATATGATTTTTTAAAATAAATCAGCAACTAATTATCAGTTTTTAGTCTGAGTTCTCTGTTATTTAAATAATGAGTCATTTTTCTTATTTATCGTGAGTTCTGTGCACAATAAATCAAAGTTTCAGTTTGCCCGGGGGGGGGGGTGGTTCTTTACTACCTGTCTGTGTGCCTTAGGGTGAGTTTACATTTAGGACAGTTTATTTACTGAGAAAGGATATAAAGGGATTATGGCCTATTCATACAATACAAATATCAAATATGCAGTACGCTTTCTGAGTACAAGTGTATTGGGAGGTTTTATATCTTAAATTTTACTCCGTTTTCTCAGAACCGTTTATTAACGATGAAATATTGCTCTGTAAAAGACTGAAATAGTCTTCCTGTGAAAATGTAATCCTGCACACGATACAATAGCAGTGGATTTCAATAGTTCAATGGAAAACAAATTCTCCTAGCTGGAAAACATCTTCATCTAATATACTAATTCATCCTGAGTTCTGCGAAAATTAAATCATTAGTAAATTATTCTGTTTTCTCAACTTTGTCAATTTTTACTTTTTTTGAAACAAAACGTCATTAACATTTTGTGTATTCAATTTGAACTTGGTTCATGGACCTGTAAATTTAGTTAAAATTATAAATTAACAGTTAATTGAACCGAGGGCTTTAAACTCTAAATCTAAAACTCTAAAATCATAAAATAATAAATGTAAAAATTATATTCATCTTTGCAACCTAATTAAGATAGATAAAGGACGAAAAGATACTGGATGAATTATAGATAAAGGATGAAAAGATACTGGATGAATAGATAAAGGATGAAAATATACTGGATGAATAGATAAAGGATGAAAAGATACAGGATGAATAGATAAAGGATGAATGTATACAGTAAGAATGTATAAAGGATAAATATATAAAGGATGAATATATGAAGTGTGAGGATGAAAAATGAAAGGATGAATAAATAAGGAATGAATTGATAAAGAATGGTTGGATAAAGGATAACATTTTTTATGCATATTGTATGTTATAATAAATAAATTAATTAGGGCAATTTTTTTAGATTAAATACGTAATTGGAACAGTTCTTGATTGTTTTCTTTAGTAAGAGATTCGAGACTCTGTCCTGATTCTAATTGTAACCCTGTAATAGATCAAGACTAAGTCATTAATACTCTAGGATATTTTAAGATGTCAGATTTTGGTCGCGAAAAATTAATAAAGGATGAATATATAAAGTGTGAACATATAAAGAATGAATAAATAAAGATGAATAGATAAAGGATAAATAAATAAAGGATAAATAGTTAAAGGATGAATAGTTAAAGGATGAATAGTTAAAGGATGAATAGATAAAGGATGAATATATAAAGGATGAATAGATAAAGAATGAATAGATAAAGAATGAATAGTTATAGGATAAATGTATAAGGATGCATAGATAAAAGATGAATGTATAAAGTGTGAACATATAAAGGATGAATAAATAAAGATGAATAGATAAAGGATAAATAAGCAAAGGAGGCTCAGTTTCATTTCCCATAATATTTTTGCCATAAATATTTTTGCCATAATTACATTTGCCATAATACATTTGCCATAAGTAACACTTGCCATAAGTCACACTTGCCATAAGTTACACTTGCCATAATGGTTACACTTGCCATAATTACACTTGCCATAATTATTCTTGCCATAATTCAAACCAAATTCGGTTTGAATTAATTCATGAGCTATCAGGTTTAGGTACTCTTCTATGGGAAGAGTAGTATACTGTAAGACAATGTTAGCAATCCTCTCATAGTGACTCTTTCAGCTCTAGAAAATATGGAGCTGAACCTGCTTTAAAACAATGAGAAAACTAAAGTTGCGAATTTTCATTGGAAAATTTCCCACATTTGCAATAAAAAAGACAGATTTACATCTTTTTAAAAATTGGAAAATTATGACAAAAGTAATTATATCAAGTGTAATTATGGTAAGTGTAACCATTATGGCAAGTGTAACTTATGGCAAGTGTGACTTATGTCAAGTGTAACTTATGGCAAGTGTTACTTATGGCAAACGTATTATGTCAAGTGTAATTATGGCAAAAATATTATGGCAAATGAAACTGAGCCAGCAAAGGATAAATAGTTGAAGGATGAATATTTAACGATGAATAGATAAAGAATGGATAGAGAAAAGGATGAATAGAGAAAGAATAAATAATAAAGGCTGAATAGACCAAGAATGAATAGAAAAAAGGAACATATAACATATAACATATAAAGAATGAATAAATAAAGATGAATAGACAAAGGATGAATAAATAAAAGAAGAATAGATAAAGAATGAATAAATAAAGGCTGAATAGACAAAGAATGAATAGAAAAAGGATGAATAGATAAAGGATGAATAGATAAAGAATGAATAGATAAAGAATGAATAGAAAAAGGATGAATAGATAAAGGATGAATAGATAAAGAATGAATAGATAAAGAATGAATAGTTATAGGATAAATGTATAAAGGATGTATAGATAAAGGATGAATATATAAAGTGTGATTATATAAAGGATGAATAAATAAAGATGAATAGATAAAGGATGAAAAGATAAATACAAAGGATGAATAGATACAGAATGAAAAAAAGAATGAAAAGATAATGGATGAATATATAAAGGACGAATTGATATAGGATGAAAAGACATAGGATGAATAGACAAAGGATGAACAGATAAAGGATAAATAGATAAAGAATAAATAGAAAGAGTAATTAGACAAAGAATGAATATATAAAGAATGAACCATAGATAAATAAATACGGAATGAACAAATAAAGGATGAATAGATAAAGAATCAATAGATACAGGATAATCAGACGAAGGATGAATAAATAAAGGATGAACAGGTAAAGAATGAATAAATAAAGTTGAATAGAAAAAGGATGAATAAATAAAAGAAAAAGAGATAAAGGATGAATAGACAATGGATGTATGTAATAAAAATGTAGGGGTAATGACTTAACACAGGATTTTAAGAGATACTGACAAATAAAGGATGGAATGGATGAGGATGGATAGGTAATGATGGATGAATAGATGATTGATGGATGGATTGAATATGGATTATGTTGTATATGCAGCACTAACTCCAACTCTACTGCTCGGCTGTGAATATTTGAATTTTTAATTATCAATTATGCAGTACACACCAGTACACACCAGCTCATCAATACAAGTACACATAGATAATTATTTACTTATCATATTTAACAGTTGACGCCTATCATATTAGAGGCATGGAGAGTGGGGGGGGGTGGGGTAGGATATTAGGGGGATATGTGAATATTAAGAATAGGTCTGGATGTGAGTTGTAAACATACATTTTCCATATTACATATATTTATTACACAAATAAAACAATTATTACTGTATAACATAAAGAAAATACCTCACGTCTGAGACATGGTGTTCAACTGAACATGATGACCTAAAATCATTGAGTAATTTTAGGTATACTATTATTCTGAACAGTTTCAATGAAAATTTGCAAGAAAGTGATCAACACTTTTGTTTTTGATCTCATTTTTTTGTTGGCGGAATGAAAATTTTGTGAAATTAAGCGATTAAACTTAAATTTTGAAACCCTACTACTATGCCATGGTCCGACATTGAAGGGCAGAGCTCCAACTAAAGTTTTGACCAGTAAAATGTTGAGAGACAGTCGTAGCAATTCAATGGAAAAGGGCTTAGAACCTACATGTAGATAGTAGCTCACTCATCCGAGCATAGAACATAAGTATTTTATCTACTAACATTGAAATCAGACAAAATATTTGAAACAACATCGTTAAATTGGCTGATCTCCCAAGGCATATTTCTGAAATATTCAATGTAGCATCTCTTCTAAATGTTTAACCGTTATACTTTTTCTCAATTCTTCAGGTAAAAGCTCTTGATCCCGAGACTCAATGCTCACTATCTGAGTTGTAAAATATCTGTCCTGGAATATTGTTATCAAATGTTTGTGTTTTCATTCCGTCAGAACTTTTGATTGCTGGTAAAGCTCCTAAACAAAATCAAATGTTAATTATATCATGAGAAACAGAAGAAACAGAACATTTTATCTTCACCATGACTTACCTGTTTGAACTAGTATTTGGGAAATGTATCTGACTGAATTTGCACTTGGAGATCTTCTCTCTGTTCCTGAGTTATTCTGTTCACAATCTTCCAATTTATTTAAAGAATTTTTGGTAGCAGGCGGTTTGGAAACTTTTGATGCTTTTTGAGATAGCAGACTCAGTAGAATATTTTCAGTGCTTGCATCTTTGGAAGTACTACTAGATTCTACATTGGGGAATGCAGATCTTCTGTTTGGTGTGTTTGTAGATATTTCTCTCTGGCCATTTGATGCTGAATCTTTGAAGCTTTTGCTCTGGGGGGCTGGGGAATTTACTCTCAGTGGAAGGGTCACAAACACGGCAGGAAGTACAGAAGGGTTTGCTGTAGTATTTTCTGAAGTGGCTTCAGAATTTGGACTTCTAAGAGATATTGTACATGTGGGAATTCTAAGGGATCTATGACTTGGCAGAGTATTGGGAAATGTTCTTATTGGTGTAATATCTCCAGACCTGATACTGGGAGAGCTATTATAAGGAAGAATATCTTCAGACCAGATGCTGGGAGATCTTCTGGTTGGTGGAACATCTACAGACCGGATACTTGGAGAGCTATTATAAGGAAGAATATCTACAGACCTGATACTGGGAGAGCTATTATAAGGAAGAATATATTCAGGCCAGATGCTTGGAGATCTTCTGGATGGTGGAGCATCTACAGATCCAATACTAGGTGATCTTCTGTCTGGCAGAACATCTACAGACAGTATGCTGAGAGATCTTTTGGTTGGTGGAATATCTCCGGACAGGATAATAGGAGATATTTTGGTTTGTGGAATATCTCCGGACTGAATACTAGGAGATATTTTGGTTGGTGAAATATCTTCAGAACAGATACTGAGAGATCTTGTGGTGAGGGGAATATCATATCTTGTGTTGAGTGAAAAATACTCAGATTCAACCATGAGACTATTTCCACTCAGTGTGTTCAGATTTGATGGAGTCTTACCAATTCTAATGTTTGGTGAAGTGTTTCCAAATGTGATATTTGGAGCTCTGTTCCCTGCAGGGGTTATTGCAGATCTTGGAATTTTCCGTCTTTGATCAGATCTGAGGATTTGTTGAACTGCATCACTGGGCCTTACCATTGGATAAACTGCTTTGTGGTCAGACCCGCAAACCCTTAACAAAGAACACTCTTTTGAGAAATTTTATTATTGTTTTTAACCAACCTAAAAGAGGCCAATGACAGCTTGCTGTGACTAAAATTTTTTATTTTTTTAAATGAAAAACGCAGGTTGGCCCTAAGATGACAATTGTTAGTCTTAGTTCTTCATCAAGTGAATAAATAAAGCCTTGTTCTCTGATGATTGGCAGAATTTTCAAAGTTCTCGATATGGAACATCTGATGTGTTAGCAGTTTGTATTGAAATCATTTTGAAGTGGGGTATAAATAGTCATAACCACTTTAAAGTACAATGTACTCATTGTACATTAGTATATTAAACTGGAAATGAAAACCAAGACTGCCCATGACGTTTTTGATTTTTGACATATATCGGGTGATCAGATATTTGCATTTACATATTTTTACATTTGTTTAGAATACCTCCAGTGTCCATAGATGTCAATTATTAGGTTGTAGGTTTGAAATCCTCTTCTTAGGTAGTTTCGGAGCTTTTTGTTGGTGACAAATGCAACACCTACAGTATAATTAGAATGATCTATGTATACACAAAATGTTGTTTTAAAATATAAAAAAATCAGCTGAAGGATTGAGTTTCTTTCATTTCTCTGAGAATCCATTCAAGACAATTTCAGTTTATGTAAACAAAGACATGATGGTTGGTCCTGGAGGCTGGAACCAGATTTAATGCATTAGAGAAGTTGTTAAGCTGTGTAGATTAAATTAAACCACCTCTTTTCAGTTTGACTTGTATCAAACAAGAGAACTGGTTGAACCGACACTACATGACTTAAATCTGGTCCCTGATGTATTTTGCCTTGGTAATACCTGGTATAAGGAAGGAGAAAATTATCAACGCTTCTATGTCTTCTGTAACTGTATCAAGTCAATATAGTTCCAGTTTGATTTAATAAAAGTTTTTAAATTTTTGAAAATTCAAAATTGACTGAAGCAAAGCATTTATTTATCTTATTTAAAAAGAATATGCATATTTAAAAAAGCATATTAAAATATAACAGTTTGATAATTATTCATTAATTATATTAAACCTGATTCCTCCTATTGTTCAAAAAAAGATGTTCATATTTATAGAAAAAGTTAATGGAAAAGGGCTTAAAACCTACATGTAGATAGTAGCTTTCTCATCCGAGCATAGAACATTAGTATTTAATCTACTAACATTGAAATCAGAAAAAACATTTAAAACAACATCGTTAAATTGGCTGAGCTAAAAAGGCATATTTCTGAAATATCCAATGTAGCATATATAGAAATTGAATATATGGTGACGTGAATCCCTTGTAAAGGATGGAAAATTTTCTTACCAAAAAATGTTTTACAAAAAATAGAGAAATCCTCAATTTTTTTAGCTTTTTGTTGGTTTGTTTATTTATAACGTACAAAGAAGAGAAGTTTGTAGTTGTATTAACATGAAAACCCTTAGATTATACAGGGTGTCCCAATAAACATGGGAATTCAGTGACGAATTCTATATAGTCTTTTCAAAAAATTCTTTGATTTAGTATAGTTATACCTACTGAGAAAGCTGTAATCTGTAAGAGTTTCGTCTGCTATGTTCACATTTTGTTTGTTTATGTTTTGACTGCATACGGTTGTACTTAGTAAAACAAGAAAATTGCAGAATGCAAACTGAAACAGAATAAACTTGTCCGTCTTCACTGTTCATCTTGCGGAGACATTATAGACACACCTTTACAGTCTTTTGCCCTTTTCATAAAATAAATTCTAGCAGACATAATAATATAATTGCTGTTGAAATTAGGTATTTCAATGCTAATTCATAACAAAGACCAGAGGCGCAACTAGGGGGCGTGGGCGGCCGGGCGCGTGCCCTCCCCTAGCACCTGAGAGGGGGGCGCGCCCCCCCCCCTGCAGAATGAAAAGAAAGAAAGAATGGCGAAAATCAGTATCACAGGAATAAGAAAACCAATAGAGTTATTGTAGAAATTTTATCATAAATATTTTTATCTTTCTCAATTCTCAAGGCTACAGGCTATTGTAAACATTTAATGTAAATAAAAGTTCTGAACTGTATTTTATTTGTGTTGAGTTTATAGAGTACAAACTGTACAAATGTACTTAGAATATACTGGTCTAACTAACTGATTAATCTGAGCATGAGCTGCTACTAAATCAATCATTAATTCAATAACTTCAAGAGAAAAGGTAACATTATCTGTCCTTTCTCAATGTAGATGATTGAATTTATTATTTACCTATGTATTTTTATGTTTTTTTTTCCAGAAACTATAAATAATTATTTCTTGCAATTTAATCTGTAATTAAACCAGGTACTTAAAAAATACTCTTTTGCGATTCGCACACATATTCAATGAATTGACTCATATCATTCATTTTGCAGCTGTTGGAAGTATAAATTTTGTAAAAACACAAGAACAAAAAATCGATTTGAATTGAACACAGCCAAATTTGCATGCAACAACTTAAAATTTCCTTTTTTTCGACTTCAAACCCTTAAAAAAGCACTTTTGTTTTTGAAAAATTTGAACAACCCCTTTACCCCCCCCTGACCCTTACAAAATAATATATTGCCCCCCCCTAGCAAAAGTCTTAGTTGCGCCTCTGACAAAGACGATAACCAATTTGTCACTGAATTCCCATGTTTTTTGGGACACCCTGTACTAGAGAGTTTTAATCTTAAAATATGAATATTCCTGCCTTTGTAACCTCTGATGTTGTGATATTTGTGTTCATCTAAAACAAATTTGGTTAGATTGTTTCTGTTTAAAGCTAAACTGAAATGCCCTGTGCTGCAAAAAAGAATTAAATCATTAAACCAGCTACCACCCATACCCCCCAAAACACTGCAAAAAGAAACTTCTAGTCTGTTCAGTTTTGATCTGGACTTAATTCCAGAAAATGCTGAGATCAGGGTTATAGAACTGATTCAAAACCAGTTTTTGCAGGGACTTGGGCTGGCACTTGCAGCACTAAAAATTTAACTATGAAAATGTTTATTAAGAAGGGGGTTTGGAAGTTACTTCAGAAACAGTTCAGATAATTGGGCATTGTGGGTGTGTGAGGTAGTACACCCTGGACTAACCAAAGTGAGCAACATTTGGTTTCTTCTATTTGAAATCAAACTTGCTTTGGTCTTAAATTCAACCTTATGGATTCTTTAAACCTATACTTTTTCATTCAAAATGCATATGCCAAAAACAGTATTTAAGAAAAAGGCAAAAAAAAATTATGTTTAATGGGTCAAATTGTAATTGCAACTCACAGCTTTATGGAATATTGACAGAACCGCAAAATCCACTTTATAACCAAATATTCTAAAAATACTTTTTAAAACTTAAATAAATGAAATAACAAAAGATATTTATTTGTTTATTATTTATTTGTTCTTATAATCACCTCATCTATATTGTATAGGACGATTCGGCCGTTAAAAAATGCAACCCAGAGAATGCTTTTAACGCATGTTTGGGCAGGTGGAGAACCCAAGCTGCTGTTTGACCAGGAATTATTTTTTTTAGTTTGAATTCAAGCAAGTAGGCATGAGACACGGTTTAACATTAGGCAGAAGGAAATAGAATTGGCCTGGGCTAAAACCCAAACAGAGTTATTGTTCATGAAGAATCCAAAGACAGAAGATTAACTCGTCATATGAGGCAAATGTAATTAAGGCGGAGAGTCCATCAGAGAGCTCTGGCTTTCCATGATTCATTAGTTATTATTTTCATTTGTTCATTTTTTACTTGAAAATACTTTTTTACCTATACTCTGTAGAATTACTCACATCAGATTTCAGGCTTTAGATTTCCTTTATTTCATACCATCTTTATATGTTAACATGCTTCAAATTTCGAGTACGCCTTTTAAAAAGCCAAAAATGCCTAACTGATGTGTTTAAGTTTACAATAGTTTGGATTTGCGTGTCAGCTCAACCCTAGCCAGCACACAAAGACAACCAAAGATATATAGTTTCAGCCAGTAAGTTCAAGTTCAATATCGTTTGCAATACCTGAGAATATTTTATGCAATTCCCATTCATTGTGAAGAGTTCAGTGTTAAAAGAGATAACATCATGTTTCAATTTTATGATAATGTGTTTTCTCAAATCTGGTTTTCTTTTATTACATGTACAGACAAGGACAGAGTTCCAGGATTTGGATTTGTTGTTAGGACAATTATGACGGCAAGAATGTTTTTAATACAGACAGTGAATAATTGTATCTTGTTTTAGTAAGAGCAAACCAGATGAGGAGTGTTCACAGCAGGCCCCTGCTGTACCCAACCCCCTGGCTTGGTTCCTAACTCGAACAATGGTTGTCAGACTAAAACAGATTTGTACCGGAAGTAGTAGCACTAAGGAACAGTTAAACTGGAAGCTGCTTTGAACCAAGAGGAAGTAATGATGTTGGAAAGCTTCCAAAATCTGAAATTGCAGAATTTTAACTTATACAACTTATTAACACCGCTAAACAGAGTGAGATCACACTATGCACGCAGAGGTGGACTGCCCAAACCCCTCCTTCAATGAAAGTGTCCTAAATTCCCATAGGACAAGATTCCTGACAAAGAAGTAAAGATTGTGACTAAGCAAAACTAAATGATGACAGTCCTGGACTTCACACAGAAATCGCTCAAACACTGGTGCCAGCACTTTGTGGAAATCTTTGACCCACTTTCATCACTTCAAATCTTGGACGAGTAGTCATCGTCTTCAACTGTTGCTCTACCAGCACGAAACAGAGACTCATCAGCATGGAAGTAGGAACAGAAGCTCTAGCTCTATACTCTATACATTTCTGGATTTATTATGAACAGTTTGTGTCCTCTATGTAAGCCCCAACCATGTTGCAGTAGCAACTAAACAGATATATTAAGGAGTGAGACTAAACTCAGGGGAAAGCATCCCAATGTTCCTGAAGAGAATCAGAGTGTTATCCGAGGATGCTTTTGGTCCACCATTTCGCTACAGTATGAATGAAGTTTTGTTGATAATCTCCACTTTAGTGGAAGTGCTTGCAAATAAGACCCTTGCCTCCATGGTAGCAAGTTATGTTTGACAGGTTCCCATCCTCTTCGATGCTTTTAGAGACACTGTGATATAGTATTTACAACACAACATGTACCAACAACTCAACATGCCTCTGTGAACGCAATAGATGAAAATGTTGGAAATGCGGTGGTCCACATTTTATCAGAGAATGTAAGCTGAAAATCTGCTACAAATGCAGAGCAAGTCATGATAAAGATGATTGTAAGATCCCTCAGCAACAACTTGTCTGCCCAAAATGTCCCAGCCATCATCTTACAAAGGCACACTTTGATACAGTACAGACTCCACAACCAGGAAACTCCTGAGCCACTTCATTCCTAGAAGGGCAGTCAACATTGGATAGACAGGTACATATAAGTTTATACAATGTAAACTTTTAATCAATACCAGAGCACTTGTTACTTCTGGTATCACTATTTCAGAGGAATTTTTTTGTGGTCATTTACGGGAGGGAACTAGGAAAGCTTACACCGTCGTCTGTAATGTCTGCAAATAGGGGGACATAAGAAGATGATGACGTTAGGAGAAGTAGAAATTAAGTAAGTATCTAGCAGGATTAATATTACTCTTTCAGCCCAGGCTGTTTTGTTTATAAATTTACCCTTTTCTAAGAGTTCATGAAGGGAGAGGATGTTGCGCCAATTATGCTCATGATCAGATCTACAAGTAACTAGTGTAATGACTATGGGACAAGAAGTAGAGGTGACCATTCCACTAAATCCAGCAGAAAATCTGACTGTGTTTCCTGTAAACAAGTTTGACCTAACTGGAACAGCAGCAGGAGTGTACAGACACAAGATGGAAGAAAAGGCTAAGTATTTAACCATTTTATATATGAATCTTTCTGAAAACAACATTATTTTAACCCTGGGAGAAATTATAGCTCATGTTTCTATGTGTGCAGTTGAAAAAAAGAAAAATCCTTAATTAACAAGGTCAAATCACGGACCAGTTATGAAAGATTTACATCTAGAAAATAATGCTGTTCTTGGAAACGTTTCTGAATTAAAAAAATTTTACTCCATGATAAACGTGTACCAGGATAACACAACCTGGGACACGTTTAACATAGAGTTATTGCCCGGCGAAAAACTGGTCAAACAAAAAGTAAGGCCTTTAGCACCACTGCATGACAAAATTCTACGGTTTCAGTCGGAGGATTGGATCCGTGATCAAGTAATTGAACCCTCAAACTCAACCAGGGCATCACCTCCCCAAGAAACAATTTTGCGGAAAATCTGCAGAATCTTTCCTGGGAATTCATGGAAATTCCTAGGAATCTCTTACAGGAAAATCCGGTGAAAACGTTGACAGCTATTCCGTGGAATTTCTCGTAACCAATTTCGAGGAACCAGGTCTTAGGAATTTCTTGTAACCCATTCCGAGGAAATTCTCATAACTCTATTCAAGGAATTTCTTGTAACCAATTCCAGGGAATTTCTTGTTACCAATT